AAAATTTCGTGATCTTGTGATTCTGTTATTCTTGTGCGCAGATTAAAATTTAAAAAGCGACTACGTAACTGATTTTGACGGCGATACTAGGTAGCGATAAATCATAAAGTCTTATAATTAATATTATTAATATAAACTTAAATAATTAATATAAAAAGGGTAAAAAACGTGGATGGGATGAATGTTTGTGTATAACAAGCCTAGTGATGTGCCATTTACGTACAGTACTGGGGTGTTTTATGCAAGTCTAATTACAAACATAGTGCAGGTGGTATAGTGATGATCATTAATCTGATTTTTTTATAGTAAACGTTTTTAAGATCTGCACGCAATATTAAAGATCATAAGAAAATCGCCTTCTTTCGCTTTTAATTCCTCCCGTAATATCTAACATTTTTTAATTCTGTAAACGCAAAACGCTTAATAAAAGGAGTCTTTACATCGTAACAACGTTAGAATTTTATTTTACTTATTATGAAATTCTTTAATTTGAAGTTGAATTACTGAATTTAATCTACAAAATAAAATCATATGATCGATTTTATTTATGTAATACAAGATAATGATAAAGTTTTATTTCGAGAATCAAAAAAAATTTACAATTTAAATTAAAAAACCTATTTATTGTACAGTATGACTTATTAAGCTTGGCTTTTTGTTACGCCTTCAGGAGAGAAAGCTGCTAAGAATTTCATAAGTCTTTTCTTCTTTAGAAACTATATTCCTTTCTAATTGCTTGGTAATTTCAGGATCCTTAGTATTTTGCCGAACGTCTCGTAACATGGTTTGAGAAATTCTCTGTAATCCACTATCCAGGCCTGAGAGTTGAATACGTGATTCCTGTAATTGAGCATTCATATTTGGGTGAACTTTCATGTCATAGTGATTGAATAACCCTTCTATTTGCTGTTGATGTACGGTAATACTCCATATATGAAATTTAATGAATTCGTATATAAGAGGAAACTTTGCTGGTTCTGCTATATCATAATTAGCAAATGCTTCAAATTCTTCAAAAAAATCGTACTGTGCAAGTGCTTCTAATAGTCCTAACGTAGCTAAACGTCCATTAGACAGGTCTTCTTCTAAAAGCTTGACATAAGAGATTTCTTCGCAAGTAGGAATTTTTAAAAAACTTTTATTAAAAAATACGGTCAAAAAAGCGTGAGCAAATGCAGGACCATTTACACCATCTAAACGACAAATGCATAGAGGTAAATGAATCCAGGTTTCTATCCATTTGACGAATCTATTTAATGCATCTTCTATTCCAGTACACAATGATGTATGAAAATTTTCAAAATCTGTCGCATTTAATTCATGTTCAGCATTAGCTAATTCATTACCGAATAGTTCATGAATATTTTCTAGACAATGCTGAAGCTTTTGAATCTATAGCATTATTTTATCCGGCATTTCATATGCACGGTTGCCTGATGGAAGAGTGTCTACATTATTTGGTTGGTGAATTTGTGAAATCGGGTCATGTTCGATCAGAAAATTATAAACGGGCTCATAAAATTCCTGACCGAATTTAATGAGACATTGTATTTGGAGGTTAAATAGCTTATCCGTAAGCCATGTAAGAAATAATTGCCACTTATTTAAGTATGATTTCGGAACATCTTTGGTATTTTCGAGCTGTTTAATAAAGAAGTGTGCAAGCGAATATGGATTTCACATCTATTAAGGTACTGTTTGGCAGTTTTAAGCTCATATAACCACCGTTGACGAATAGGCTGTTGATATTGGCACATTTCAAAGTTAAACACAATTTTATAGAGTTCTTTTAATTTTCCAGATTTTAGATTTAACGGACTGTCTTTATCTGAAATATTGTATCCGTTGTGAAGATAGAAAGCAAGACTAAGTAAATTATATAGATGCTTTTTTAATGATAATCCTTTGACGGAATCTAATTTTCCAAATGCTGTATTTTCAAAATGTGTTAGAGCAATGTGGATTGCATGCAATCCACAAGGGATCTGAAATGATTTAGATGCTGCTAATGAATTGAATTTAGCAACCGCGCCATTAACCTCTAAGGACATATAAGCCATATTATCTGTTAACCAGAAATGACATTTTTGGGAATCAATTCCATTTTGTTGACACGCTTCAAGTACTGCAGTAGAAACTGTTTCGGAATTACAATTTATTAGGTCTTTTACTTTTACTATAGTGATTGTGAGTTTTTCTTTAATATGATTCCAATATGAAATACAAATAATTAACACTTTAGTTTCTCCCTATGTGCTTTTATCAACCATAACACTGTAACCAAAAAACCTAGAAGTTTCAATAGGATGATTTTGGATAAATGATAAACTGGCTATTTCATTATTCCATCGTGCTAAAGTTTTTGCTGTTATCCAATGCTTTGGCATTTCCCCAGTTAAAAATTGATAAATAGCTTTAGTGCATTCTACTGTTGCACGTATTGAGGTTCATCCTATTGTACTAATATCAGTAGCTAATTTTACAAATCTCGCGTTGTATTCATTGTTATTAAAATTAAATAATTTAGTGACCGCTTGTTGGAATTGAATTGGATGAATTTTTTTGATTTACCAATAGAAGACCGAATTTTTGAAATTTGTTTTCGTTTAAATTGTTTGGCTCTTGCTATTCGTACGGAAAGTGAATGAGTAGTGAAAGAAGATTTATATCTTTTTAAACGCTGATTCTCTTGTCTTAAATTTTTATTTTTTAGTTTTAATGCATTGATAGCGATATTGTGATTATTCTTATAAAGACTAGTATCTATAAACTCACACGCTTTATTTTGTAAATAGGTAGAAACTATTTCTCCTTTATGATTTCCTTGAGAGTATATATTGTTTGAAAAAGTGCTAATACATTACGAACTTGGGGATTAGGTAAATCGAAAACATGTATAAGCATTTCATTACGCTTTGCATGAACACAAGTATTCATTTCTCAAGATTCGAATATTTTTTTCATTATGTAAATGAAATCATTGTCATCTAATTTTTAAATACTGAAATTAGATGATCAAGTAATTCTTCTCGTTGTTCATACTTTCGTAAATTTCTCGTACTTCTAAGTTGTTTATTTCGTGAGTTAACCGACCTATTAAGTATATATTAAAGTAACACGTTGCGGCACATACAAGTTTTAGAAAAATGGGAAATAATTTATTATTTTAGGTTGAGACTTGCGATATATGATGGTTTTATTATATTTGGAATTTGGATTTGGAAAAGGTTATTATGCTTAGAGCTTAGGACTTGGATGTATTATACTTGGAATTTGGTATATTTTTGAAAATTTTGAACAGATGGTTCAGTTAAGAGATGTGATAGGTTTGATGATTTGGCACTGTTGGGTT